CGGCGGCATCAACTCTATTCTCCAGGAGGCAACTCCAATATTAGACCACGGCAAAAACAGCGTTTACTTTTACTCCCACAAACCTGTCTTCCACATGGACAGAATCCTGAGAGAAATGCTAATAATATTCATTAAATGTGTTGACGGTCATTGTATTCAGTGACAGCACAGAACGAAGCGAGCAATATTGGGCTGGGAAATATCCCCTTATCTTATTGAGAGACAGACAGGCTGAGCAGCAACAACCGGGCCCGCTAATCCAATCTGGTGGCATGCACATGAAATAACTTCTGGGTTCGGTCACTCAAACAACACCTCAGGGAAAACAGGAAAAAAAAGATTTATCAGCATCCACATCACAATAAGGAATACACACCCACACGTACTATAGAGCAAACTCAATCAGCCTCGGACCTCATTTTTTCACATCAAAACATGCTCAGGATGGAAAGTCCTTGGAAACCCTGCAGCAAAGTGATATTATAGTTAACCGCTAATTGAAAACAAGGCCGGAGGCTCAGTTTCCCCCGTTTTTTCAGCATCTGCTTCTGAAGAATACAGCAGGGTTGAATGTTTTACTCTTCTTTGCTTTGCAGTGGTGCCATGTGTCAGCCCAGAAGACCTGCAAGTGTCTGAATGACCTGAATCGGACAGCTTTGTTTGGTTTCAGTATCACTGCTGCCCAGCTGACAGAGCTGAGGACTTATCGCGCACGCAGCGCCTGCACAGCCACACAGAGGAGCAGCAGCACTCCTGACCAGAACAAGAAGATAAACGGGACACAAAGAGGCTTGCTTTGGATGGTTAGTGCAGTCCCCGTGTCGCAAGGACATCTGTGTGTGGGTATTGAGGGCCGCATGAGACCGCGTGGGAACATTTTGCACGGTTGCCTCTGCGATGTTGCATCTGCCTTAGCGTGTTGTGGGCACGCATGTCTTCATCAGTCCTCCTGAAGTAGTGGCAGATTCAGTGGGCAGTGTCACGCCTTCCGACATCCTTTATTCTTTAATGAGCCCGGCGGAAACACACAGTCAGGATGGAAGATTGTAATCGACTTGTGTCTGTAGGTTCCCGTATTCCCCAGCAACTGTTCTTTTATACATTCGAATGTCAAAGCAATTTCTCCTTGCGCGTGTTGCATAATCTACAAAAGGCATGATCCCTTTTTAACTGCATTTACTTTTGAGAGACAGATAAGTCATCTGGGAGTTTCTTGACATGGACTAAAAAGCTATGCTAATGATGTTTGGGAATCTTTTCAGATGTGCGAGCTCAGAGAAAACAAGGCGACAATCACAGCAGCAAGAGCAGCTTGACAGAGGAGGCAGGCCTGCTTTGTAATAATGTACGATACCCAAAGCTATTTTAAGATTGCGTATTTCTAAACCTAGATTTCTTTGGGGAAATCTTGCTCACATTGCTCAGTGGAAACTGTGCCAAGCAGAGCCAGAGTGGGTGCCCGGGTTTGGCTCGGTGTGGTACGTCTACATGCATCTGCTCAGATTTCGCATCTGTGCAGTTTGCCTGGTTTAAATATTGAAGGCAACACACGCAGGAGCACAAGAGTAGCCCTCGTCACAGTCGCCTCTACCGAGGTGCATCCCTGCAACTTTGTGAAATATACTCTATTATTGTATATTTTATATTGCAATATCATGAAATGTTTAGATAAAGTATGAGGATTTGGGGTTGAGGACTGTATTGTGAAAGCTGCTTAAATGTCAGAGACATGACAGAGGCTCAACTCATGACTTTATTTGCTAATTTGAGTGAGTTAATAATTATTGTCAATTCACTGCTAATAGTAACAAGTGGATTATTGGCCAATATACTTGCAAATATATGCAAGTATGCGGATGTCTTGGATTGAATTTAGACTTTCATTATTGATAAGTCTGTTGATTACTATATATTATGGTCTAACATATTGCAAAATGGGGGAAAGTTGGGGGCATCCAGGCTGATGTCTTCAAAATGTCTATTTTTCTTCTGAACTTGAAGCTTTTCAGTTTTTGTTAACGTGAGACAAAGAAAAGTAGCAAATCTTCACAAATGGGAAGATAAACAGAGATTGTATTTTTTATTCAAAGTCAAAGACCTAAATGATGATTTAATTATCAAAGTAGTTTATTTTCTGTTAAGGAGCGAACGCACGAATGGACTAATCGTTGAACCAGTTGTGCTCTGTACACAGGGCACGATGGGAGAGAACAGGAGACCAATGCTAGAGAAAGAGCTGCAGCGGAAAAGCAAGTTAGAAAAAAGAAATGTTGCACCAATGCGGCAGACAATTCAAAAGAGGACTACTGAATGATGTTGTGTGGGCAAATAATGTGTAGCAATGCCCCCCACCAACACCACCTTTTCCAGGCTGGATCCCTTCTTTGTTGCTCTTCCTATTTTCTACCATTTGTTTGCTCAAAGTTTCTTCTTATCCTGACTGAGGTTATAATGACCGAAAATCCCCTCTCACACTCACTTTTTGGGCTGTGTAAACAAAATAGACTGACAGTTGACATATTATCCCAAAGATATCCAAAAAAAGGCATTTTCAATGTATGCGAATGTTCCATCAGCGGGTACAAAATGGCTCATTTAGGGAAGTGGTTGTAGTCATTTTAGGAAAGGTCAGATATGAGGAGACATAAATCAATGTCAAAGATGGCAGCTTGTAGATACGTTGCCTCAGACATCTTCCTGTGATGTGTGGAGTACTAATTTCCCTGTCCCTTGGGATGCAGCCAAGGATCATAAGAGAGAGCAAGGACAGAACAGCACTGGCTGACCAAACACAGCACATTTCTCATGACGACAGAAATCTGGATTAATGCAGCTCTCATTTGAATCCTGTTACATCACATCACTCTGCGTCTGGTCGCTCCACTCTGCTCTAAAAGTAAAACTATGGACCAGTCCCACGTTTAGTCCACAAGTAGTATGTAGCCTAGAAATATCGCCCGATAACATGACACTGAATCACGACAGCCACCTCAGCCATGTCTCGTCGACGACCGGGTCATCTCTTTAAATCATACTTGCTGCTTTCTTTTCTGCCAATATAATCGGAAAGCGGAAAAACCTGCTGCCAACTACGAGTTTAATGACCCATCGCACGCTGACCTTCTATGTACAACTGCAGGAGTTATACAACAACTTCTAGCCGGCTGGTCGTATTCATCGCGACATGTTTTGGGGGCACACAACCGTACAGTGCAAACACACAAAATACCGTGCACGCGTTTATGTTTTCAGATAATTGCAATTCAGAAGAACTGAAGAAAGCAGAAGACAGCACAGATGATTCCTCACAAGTTAACAGCATAAAGTATTTGATGACAGATGTGAGCGACTTCATAGCGTGGTGTCCAATTCCACCCTGACTTAGGGGTTAATTATTGGTACTTTCACAGTGTGGCATCGCCGAGCTAGCGAACACATTAATGGAGCCGCTCTAGCTTTTGATGATTTACAACAAATTACGCCTGTGCCAGATTTTTCTTTTTGTCCTTCTCTTCATCTTCAAAGGGTTTCATCAAAATAAGTGAAGCCTGGCAGCTGGCAGACCGAGCACACGTCTCTGCACTGCACTGGCTGTGTCAAATTGCAAATGCATTCATGCAAAAACTCGACTACCGCTAAAGTCCCCCATATGTAACCAAACAGCCACGGATTCACCATATCAGGCACATACAGATGGACGGAGGCCGATGCGGAGGCCGTTTACGGACCTGCTCAAGAGTGAGTGTGGCTGTGAGGCTCATGCCAGTGATCCGGTCGGGGATTCACGGCTCCTTTGTGTGGGTTAAAATCTGAAGCCCAACTCAGTCTGCTTTTAATCCCTTCGTAGAAAATGTGTGCGGTCGAAATCCACAAACGACCGGAAAGGATGGAAGACGTTGGTGGATAATGGACGATATTCACAAAGGCTGTGATACACTGTTGGGTGTCGGGGTGATGTCATTTCTCTCTCTAGGAGGATGACGCTGTACCACGGTGGATGAATATTCTAGCGGAATATTAATAAATGATGATAAAGGCAGTGTTGAGAGGCACACAACACGGTGGCTTGCTCAAAAGGTTGTTTTTTTATCTCCAGCCTTGCACCGAACGGTGTGTCCTCGGTCTGCTTCTGACATGATGCTCCCCGTCCTCCTCCATCAGCACGCAAGCGCCCCACTTCCTCATGCGGTCCTTGAGCTTAGTGATGTAGACGTGTATCCATCCCAATATTTCAATAATGTCAGTGTAACATTCTTAACATATTCACAAATAACACAACTTCAACTGTCATTATTAAAATGAATCAGGTTCATTCTACTCAGTTCAGCAACTAATTTCAATTACTTAGCGGGTGGTGAATGAAGTGCTCCAAAAATGACAAATTGTTATGAAGGTTTGTGTGGTTGTTTTTTTCGTGCAGTCCTTGCAAAACAGGAAAGTATGACATCTTTCAAAACTACTAATACAAGTACTGGAATATGTGCGGATGATTTTGTATTTTTGCTTTTAACGTGTACTGCACTATTGGCAGAGAATGCTCCACCAGAGAGATGGATAGAATAATTTAAAACATTAGACACAAGCAATATGCAGCCTTAGCACCAAGAAAAGTAACCTGGTCACGGCCTACTTAAATAAAGCGCCACACAACCAAATACCTTCACTTCCCTATTCCTTCCACTCTTTTACCCCTTAGTCTGTCTCCTAATGTCCTCCCTGCTTGTCTCTTTGCTGCGGTGGCATGACTCAGTGGACGGCCAGGCGAGTTGAAGAGCTCCCTGAAGGCCACAGGCTGCTCTGTCCGTCTGTTCAGAGCCCAACGACATGATCGCAGCGATACAGAGAGAAACACACAACGTTGGGCCGTGGTCATCGCCATCATTACTGCCGTCTAAAGTCTAAACTACAATGTGGGAGACCGTGGCTGCTTTTCAAGTGGCACTACAGCAATTCCTCCAACACTCTTCAGTGTACTGCAATAACCTGCCAAGCCAACTCACGGATATCCGTAGGTAGGCAGAGCAGCTCTCCCGTTTGCTCCAGGCAATGACCTGAAACACAAAAAGGAAAAAGAGCATCACACCGAGCATCAAACAGACAACTCACATAAAAGACACAGTTCAGCTGGAAGATTGAGGTTTGATCTGTTATTCCATGGCGGGATGTGAGGGGAGTCGATGAGAAGTGGGATTGTTGGTTCACAAAGCAGAGTGACGCTTCTCCACAGTCGCTGTTCCACTCGGGAATAAGGACCCAAATTAAATAATAGATGTGTTTGCACTTGCACAATGCTACTGATTAAACTAGTGTCTCAATCCTGTGCAGACCTTCCTTCACCACACAAATATTTTACAGACACAATGTGGGATAGCGTTTCCGCTGGGGGGGAATTCTACTTCAAAACAAAGCCCCATCACCGGACTACCGTTGTTTGAAGCAGGGGTGTGGCTCTATGAGAGGGACTGGCTGGTAAAAAGAGTGCAACTTGCAACACTTGCCGTATTCTCACAAACTTTGACAGCACGGCTTCACCATCTGCCACTGAGCCAACGCCAAATGTCGCATCTCATCCTTCCTGCCCGAGTCCCCTTGTGACAGCCACAAGTTGCTCTCCCCACTCAGCAGTTGGAGCAGATTAAGCAGCAAACACACCAGCAGCACGCACACTCTTGGTGTCGGCTTGATTGCCCTTTTGCAAAAATCAGCAGGGGTTAGGTTGATTGAAGTAATCAGAACGGGGTAATAACTAGGCAGGTGCAGGGATTTTCCTGCCATTACAGATTTTCTTTCCAACCTAAATATAAGCATAAACGCTATGAACAGTGTGGAGAATATCCGGACAAGCCTACGCACAGGACGAGAGAGAGGAAGAGAGGGAATTAGAATTGTAATTTATCGATATAGTTCAAGTAATGTTGCTTATGATGGCGAATCGGCTGCCTGTTGTTATCGTTTTATCGGTCAACGAGCAGTGGAAAATAAAATCAATGACACATTACGACGTCAGTGATGAACTGGTATTAGAATGAGAATTCTAATGCTTAATGCCATGTTGAAGAGCCCTCTCAAAGGCGACCTTATCCTTTCTGCCATCTGCATGAGCTCAATTTGTTCCTTAGTGTGGAGGGGGGGGGGGACATGGGTACATCCGTTTGTTGTGATTGTACGGCCTTGTTAGCAAGGCCAATACGCTACAGGTGGTAGCGCAGTGATCTAGTGCGCATGAGGGAGGCGGAACTTACAAGCCGAATGTATGAAAATGCTGAAATCCTTTAGGTTTAAGATGTGATGGAGACGGTAGCAGAAGGGATGAAATTACAAATAATCGTTTCAAGGGATTTCCACTTGACTTTGCAATAACTGCAGATCATACATTGACTTCGAAACTAGGAGACGTCTAGACTAGAAGAAACTATTATGCCTCTTCTTGGCAGATATTCATCTCTTTATATTGCAAAATGTGGGAGAGAAGAAATGATGCAGAGTAGTTTGGTAAATGCAGGTGATGGAGAAGAGATGAGAATTGCCCGAGTGCTTCAGACCACCTCTACGTTTCAACCACACACACCTGTAGAACTGGCCTGCCTGTGCTGCTACTGGTCCTTAAGGACCACATTTTACCATGTTGACACACACACAAAAAACAAACATACCAGCCTTGCTTTTGCAGCTAGTAGAAATATTCATATTCACAAAATGTTTATTTTTCATTTTCAATGGCAACTCACACAATAGTTTGTATTTGCAAGGATCTAGTTTTGATCAACGGTTTACCTCAACCTACACAGGACATGTACATGCTTGAAGATAAAAAGAACACTATGTTATTCTTATTATTATTTTAGGTTTATTCCCACAGAAGATATATTGAAAAGTATTGTGTTCAAAATGGCGTCTCTCCAATCTAACCAGCGCTCTCGTTCACCATTGTTCCCCAGCTCCTGCTTGCATGCAGCCCCGAGGCTGCTATTAGTCCAACAGGTCCGACTCACTCTGCTGCACACGGCAAACAATACTGTGATGGAGACAAAACACTCACTTTTACCACCACCGCAATGAATATAAAAATATAAATTAGAAAGATGAAAGACTTGCACCATCTCTAGGAATCGTGTGCAGCCTCAACATATCATCTTAGATACTGTGAAGCGAACGCAGGAAAACACATTTCATTCATTCAAATGCGGGTACATAAATTCCTTTATTTTTTATACCAATAACTATACTGTTGCCTTTGGGTCTGATTTTTAATGTCATAGACACATTATAGATAATTCCTGACTAATAACAATGGCTTTGTTATATTGTGCTGTAAAGAATTAAATTACACAACAACTACACAGCAGACTGACGCTACGCAAACGCTATCTTCACAAGCTATCTGACAATAACTGGAAAAAATATGACTGGCCTGAACAAGAATAATTTAAATGGAAATGTAATCACAGACAGTTGCTGATATTAATCATTCACAATGTGGTGGATAAATTGCGATTATAATTGTCTTTTCAGTAAAGTAGGAAAATTAATGAATGCGTACATAAGTGAAAGAAAACCTATTTCTTCATATGTTGTAATGTTTTAAAACACCGGGATTTTTTTTTTTTTTAGAGCTATTTGTTATGAACAGTAAACAGAGGCATGCAAATGAGAATTTGCCTGCAGTCCTCAGTACTAAACATGCATTGAGAAAAATAGACATGAAAACAAGCTCACAGATAAACACACTTGTATGCACACCACCGATGGCAGGCAGGCAAAGGCTTACAGGTCCCTGTTCATTTTAAAACCCTGCATAAGCTGTTCCCTGGCATTTTACACCCGTCAACATTTTTACAGGGTTGCCATCTTGACCTCCCGTCCCACAGCAATAACTAAGCTCTCCTCCCTGAATTACAGACCTGAGGCGCGTAAAGATGGAACGGAGGATAAATCGAGCGGGCTCTCAGGCAGGGGAGAGATAAACAGCAATCCAGTTACAGGATGCCCTGACCTTCAGCTTTACTCGCAGTTCTGTGCAGCGTTGTTTACAGGAAACACATTTCATGCAACATTATTCCTGTGATGGTCTTCAAGCGGAGATTTAGGTCAACAATATTGCCGTACACCGCAAAAGGAAAGTGAATAAGCAGAACCGGTCTATGCATTCGCTCATCAGTATTCCTCAGTAAGCTTCAACTTCAGCGCAGACGGCTCCAATCTCAGCGTGCAGCACCGAGCCCACGGACTGTTGTTGAGCTGATTGCTGAGGAGGAACCTCTTTGCCGACCTTTGAAATGCCGACCCAGCCAAAACCCGACGCTGTGCAAAACTCTTTGTACTTTGCAAATTAGTTTAATGAAACTACTATATGTACAGTGTTGTTGTTGAGTGTCTTGAGCTGTACGGTTCTTTATGGAAACGTTGTCTGAATACAAAGTCCAAACTATCGCTTTCCGTTTTTAGAAAATATATTCACAAAAGACCCCTGAAAAATATAAAAATTATATAAAGCTTTTAGGCACATCCGAAGATGAGCCTAATTTACTGTCATTAGGTGTTTGTGCTGTAAAAGAAACCATTTTGCCCATTTTGTAATTTAGAATAAGCACTATCACTGTGGCGAGTGTGTTTAATGATGTGCAATCTACTCGCAGAGGTACCAGGAACTCTGTTTGGGTGTGAACCCTCATTATTCAGTGAGCATATGTATTGTCTGACTATGGTTTGCCACTTATCTCCCAGACAAGAAAAGCCATTTTGCTCACAGTTCTCTAACACACAACTCTCCCGATTGATTAATTCCCTGTAGTTGAGCACATTAGCAGGACTAGTAGACAACAGATAAAATACTTGTATCAGCAACAGAGATCTTGTATGCATAGATATTTGTACTGATATGTGTGTGTAAAGAAATGAATATTTCAAATAACACATGTGATCTTGCGTCAGCAAACGCCAGGTGTTTCATCAGGATTTGAAAGCACAGTCTTTGAGTACATTGTATGTTTTCCCACATAAGCTCAAAGAAATCCATTGAGATAATCTCCACAGCCACCTTTCACACACCTGTTGAATTCTTTACATTCCAACGTCATTCCAACGTGATGGAAGATAGTAACTCCCTCACAACAACCGGACGAACTGCTGTGGCTCGTATGCAAATGGTACCCTGCCACTCTTAGATAGGTTTGTCTTTTTAAGATATAAGCTGGCAGGTAGACTATTACATTACCAACAGAGTAAACATTGGTCAAATAATGTATACTTTTTAATTTTGCAGTACTGTGATATAATACGGACCCTGCAAATTCTACCAGCAACAATCTGAACTATCATAGAAAGGTCTTGGTGCGTTGTTACATCATCCATGTTTGCCCTCATATCCATTCAGCAGACCGGAAAACAACCCAACAGACCCACAAACAGAATGTCTTGAGAAACATCCGATACTTAAAAGTGTCATAGGATCTTTCCTGCTGCAATACGAAGTCACCCAAAAGGTGAGTGAGTTATGACAAAAGAAAGACAACGCTGCAGAACAAAGAGGAAGGCAACTAAGAAAAAGGCCCAGCTGCGTCTGGTCTTTGACGGGTTACTGAGCTTCCGGGATTTCACTTTCCTTTTTCTCAACCTTGTCTCCTCAGACAATCCCCCCTTCCTTCCTCCAGTCAGAGGGTTAATGCTACTGTAGTAAAACTAAATCTAAAATGAAACAAGGCTTGACTAGAAATCAAATCAACATACAAATTAAGTATCTAACTGTGGGTGGAGTGATATAATACAGAATTTCAATGATCATTATTGGGAACCAGGTCTCATCACCAGGTTAAAACTATTTGGATGAAGATGCCATTGACCAGCATAACAACATTTTTTGATTTACATTCCAAATCAAAGACAATTCTTGAAAAGTAAAATATTTGACCCTATTGGTAAAGAATAAGCTATAATTTAAGATTTTGCTTTTGCTCTTCATCATCTGCACCCTCTCACTTAGGTGAAACAATCCTCTGGTTGCACTTCATCAGCTTAGGGTTACAAATGATAAACAATCATCTGGGCTGTCAATAAAGAAAGAGGCAGGTACTCCAGAGAAACCCAAGGTTCTTATCAGATCTTATCTTGATTGGTTGATAAACAGCATGTATGCACCGGTCTAAAGACAACGTCGTTCCTTCAAACAGCAGCAATCTCTGCGAGGGAAGTCACCAGATGTGCATTCCAACAATGACAGGAGCAGATGAGGCTCTCCGCACAATTTCGTCCTGTAGGTATATTTTCATAACAATTAATTTAATTAAAGTACTTTGTACTTAAACACCAGCGTTCACGTGTATGGGAATAAAAACAAACAAAATTGCATTGACTATTGATCGACTGCCAGTGGTTAATTCATCTGTTAGCACCTGTATCCCCAGTGCACGCAAAACGTCTTGGGATTTTCGTTCTTAGGTGGGTTAGTATGGACGGAAATCCTTTCTAAAACGACGCTGTGTGGATGAAAATAGTTTTTCAAACGATAAAATAAAAAAACTGAGGCCTGTGTTTGGATGTAGCCTTAGTTAAGGGCCACAAGATGCAGAAACTTCCTTGGAAGGGGGCAATGTAGACACAACGGGATCTCACTACAAATCTCACTACAGATCTCAACTGGACCCTTTAAATAGTTATTTACAACTTCAGTTATATACAAATTACATATGACAAAGCTAAACTGGAGCCATATGATTCACTTTTACGGAGCTAGATCCTCCAATGCTTCTCTCTCCCTCGCTCTTTCTGTGTGTCGTCAGAGCGATTCTTTAGTACCACCCATGATTAATGCAGCTTTGAATGGGCTCCTCTTTACCGAGCACTGTGGGAGAAGCCTTTCTTTCCTTCTCCCACTTTCTTGCCATTTTGCTTTTCTCCCAATGTGAACCGATTTAGTCACAGTGTAAACTGATTTGGACTCATTTACATGCTAATGCAATAAAGAGAGGTGAAATGATGTGAATGCATCACCTGATTGATTCTAGGGGACACCACCGCACTAAAATCTAAGCAGGAGACGGCATGTAGGAGCACAAACCTCATCCAGCCCCAGTATGTTGCCATTTTCAACACTCAAGAAAATGTAAGCGACACGTCCTGCAACACCTCTCACAAGTGCCTTCATGCCCCAACTAGTCACTGCTTCTATATTAGTTACCTGAAGGAGAAGGTCAATATTGTGTTGAAGAAGGTCAAGAGAGAAAAGACAAGTATGAGAGCGACTAATCAAATCTTAACGGATGTTACAGCACGACCAGAGGCAATAGAGAATGTATTGACAATGTGAAGGGAATAAACAAAAAAGAACAAACAACATCACGTGGCAAAGGTGGCGCTACTGCTTTGAGGTTGGGTCATCGCTGACATAGAGGTATCTCTCGCGCTTACCTTTGTCTTTGAGTAGAAACTATGTTAAAAGGTAACTTTGCACACTTTTTGAGAACTGTCACAATCAATCAAACAAGATATGCCAAAACATTCTTGCCGCACCACGGCCGACACTGAATTTCACCTTGCATGGAGACACAGCTTTTGAAATAAATGTGTCAGAATTATTACGAAATGAATGATGTTGTTAATGATGCATTTGTATTTACACAAAAAAATCTTTGCAATAATGTGTCAAACGTGACAAGGTTGCAATCTAAATAGGATATTTTGATTCTAGAAAATATCTGAACCACCGTCTGAGTTAACAGAGACAAGGTGACCAACATATTATTTCTGAAAAGGATCCTGTCCAACACTCCACTGAGCATTTTAGGCAAAGAATTGAAGAGCATTTTTAAGTGAGTCAAATCACGACCACTCGAATACGAATGAGTAGTTCATATGTATCTGATTTCTATCGTATTGTACAGCTAGCTGTTGCTTTGTGAAGCCAAGCTGCAGAATTACTGACTAAAGTGATGAATCATTTTAATCAATAAAACTAAAATCAATCAGATGCATCCCTACGGTATAGAGACCATAATAAAAACATTCTCAGTTCCATTGTTTTGTTCGGACATGACTACGTAACTAGACACGCAAAAAATTGAAAATAAACAAATTAATTAATTACAAATTATTTTCCAGTGTATTAGCCTACGAGCTCTGAGGCGTAATTGATACCATGTCGTCTGTAATTCATCAGCTGGTCTGTTTGCTAGTTAACACACATCGCCAGTGTGGTACACAGTCCACCTTCTCGCTGATAAATCCTGTGTTGAACAGCAATTTGCGCGTACTAATTGCTCAAACAAAGCACTTCTACGGCAATACTGTTGTCCCCAGCACCACTCATCTCATTAAATACTCATCAGAAACCATTGTTTAAGTTGCCATTTTGAATTTCAAAAATAGTTTGTGCAACATGAAAACCGACACCCACCTTCTAGACCTACAGTATCTGCAGGTTTTTTAACATCTTTGCTTTTTGCTGAAGGGAAAATGTGTTTGTTATTGTTCCTCCACCCACACCGATGTGCTGAACAGAGAAGAGAACATAAATGTTTAGCATGTGAAATCCATAGCATTCAGAGCGAAGGTATCACGGGTCACTTCCCCGTGGCGGAGGTATGGATCAATGGTCTTGATACACTAAATGATCACACATTTCATATCAGTTATTCATCTTTTAGTTGTGCAACAGGGATCTTGGAGTCCCATTCTTTTCTCCCCCCCGAGGTCCAATTTAGTATCTAAAATAAATACAATCCCAGCGGGCTTAAGGAGGGTGTTTGTCCTTCAGTGCAGATGCTCCATGGAAAAATACAGCACCACAGGCTCCGGAGATGTTGAGACAAAGCATGTGGAGTGAAAGAGAGGATTGCCCAGACAAAGTGAGCTCGGATCGAGAAGAAAGCTATGAGGTGAAAACAAAGTGCATCCTCCAATGCCTGGTGTTCATATCATGGCTCTCCGGGGACCTTTCACTTTCTGTGATGGCCATGCATTACTCTCCTCCATAGCTCAGGTCATCACCTTCTTCATCAGCCGCAACGCAGCCATCGCTCTCCCTATCTTTGTTTTCTACTCCCCACAGTACAAGAGAGTCGAATACGTACATTCTGATAAATAATCCTACAACAGCTGATGAGAGAGTGATTGTGTCCATTTTTTGGCACCATGTTTTTTTATTTGCTAATTACCTGTACAAAAGGTTCCATAAACGTGTAGATGGTTTCTCAGTAGCCAACAATCAAAATGTTTAATTTTGACTTTGTTTTAGCAGAGTATCCAATGGAATGCACATAATAAATGGACGTTGATAAAGATTTAAATATAAGTACCGAAGCAAATCTTGCACCACCGTTAACCTAATTCCGCTCAACTATATTCCCCTGTGGCTTTGACTCCAGACAATATCGCTATTGTGAGAGAAACCAAGAAAGCAAGAGCATCAGACAGCCCAAATATATCATACAAGTGGATGATGAAATGCATTCTGCACGGCTGGATGAGGATAGAAGAAGCTTAGGACATGAAATTGCAAAGCAGACCCTGCGAGCCGGCCCTCTTGCCCCCCCTGAACAATGAACAGCCAGACACAACGCCTGCCGGCAGCTCCCCCCCTGTGGCCCAGGACTGGCACAGATTGGTACACAGCAGGCAGCAAAGTCCACCACCACATATCAGACCTCAGACACCCACAAGCATTACATAATGGGGAGCTCTCAAACAAATAACTTGTCTTTTTCTGCAGATGCTAATGTGGTGGACTTGAGAAGTGCACCTCGCACAACTTCAACCTTGTGTTAAGCGGCAGCAGCACGGCCGGGAGGAACTGAATGTGTGGTAAAACATTATGCACTCTATTATCTCATACTTGTCTATTAAATGTATTTTTAGATATCCCAGATGTGGGATGAATTTACACAAAGAGAACTCTGAGGAGCATCAAAATACCCGAGGTGCCGTTTGTTAAAACGATCCAAGAAAGGGAATTTGAATATGAAGTACACCTCCAAATGAATGACCTTCCACATCTCATGCCACCCTAAAGGCATAAAGCAACATGAGTACGATCGATCATTTTAGACGCAGACCACGCTGCGCATGGATGAATCACCGGTAATTGTAGCGATCGTACAGCCGCCCAAACAACCACAATAACCCGGCAATACAAACACCCTTGATTACGGACGCCACAATTTTAAAAACAAGAAAAGGTCTTCGGTCAAACCTTTCCGCCCTGTTGTTAACGTTGATGCTGAGGACAAATCCACAGGCGCAGCGAAACAGCATCCATCCACCGCTCCTCCGGATGCCTCGGAGGAGGAGGAGGAGGAAGGACCACTACAGCCTCGATGGCACAGCGGGGCTTATCGATGTTTACCGACGTTTCATAAGCAATGGAGACTCACCCGGAGAATGTCATATGCTGATCAGGTGCCCTCCTTTTCGGGTTGGGTGAGGAATGGAGCCGGCAGGTCTCGCATCACTTACAGAAGGCGTAAGGAGCACAGCGCCGCCCCGGAACGAGTGCAAAAAAAAAAAAATCAAACGCACCCACTGCAGCTGTTTGAACACAGGGCTGAAGCGGTGTCTCTCAAGGCCGCTAGGCTGCATCCTTAAGGACGCATCCGTCGACCGCATACGTCACTTCCGCTGCTACTCGGCTGTCCCAATCGGTCGGTTCCTCCGAACGCGGTCCTCCAGGAGCCGATTCGAGGACACGTCGGATCTAGCCTTTGCGGCTCAGCATATCCCAGCATGCAGTTCGGTCCGACGAGGATTTCATTCATTCAAGACGGAGGCGGGTGATGCGACAGCGGTGAAGAGTTCGCTTTTAAACGTGTAGAATTCACTCGAATATCTACCGTTAGAAATGTTATAATGTAACATCACGTTTTAGTTTACGGAAATCACTTAAGTTACGTGACGTTGGTAACGAATGTCATGTTTTTGAATAGGCCTACACATAAGGCCAGGCGCGTGCACACGCATTTTGGGGGGCAGGTGCTCAAACTAAAACAAAAGGGCCCCCATCGCCAAAATTATTCATGAAATTAAAAATAATTATTAAATAAAAAAACACAGGATATTGTCACGCCTCTCACAGGGCGGGGTGGCAGAAGCAAGTAGGACTCAAATGCAGAGTTTTAGACAAAAAAAGCTACTTTAATAAATCAAAAAATGCCATGGGGAAGAAAAAAATGCAGACGGGGGAGCCACGTTCAGGAAAACCAATGATGCGACAGGAGACAGACATGGCTTAAATACACTGGGAAGGTGCAGGTGATTGGACACGGTTGGAAACAATCATGGACACGGCAGACAATCACAGGGGACGACAGGACAAGGCAGGAGGTGAAAACCGTGACAGATATTTTCAACTTATATATTTATTTTTGTTAACAAACTAACTCAAATTGAATAAATAAATGAATAACAGGCAAAAACAGACAAAACAAGGCCATATTGTACTCAAGCACTTAGGTACGAGAGGCTGAACTTGATCATCAATAATGTTACAGTTCAAGGGTGTTGTTACTATAAATAGGAAATTAAAAGCTTCCTTTCAGCAGAAAATAGTTGTAGCCACAATACGTTGTGAATCACATTTATTTCCGTAGTCTCGAGATAATAGTGCATAGCAACAGCCACACAGCATTGTAAACACCACGTTTGTTTGCAAAGCTCGCATTGCCGGAAATCCAGCATTTGCGGCGTTTCTGGCCTTTTTTCGGCGATTGCCAACGAGCTAAAAACTGAAATGACAACTAGCAGTCGCGTTGCTGGAGGTCCCTGTCCTCTGCTTTGGAGTCTGTCTTTTCTTAGCATTATGCTGCAAATTTTGTAAATAAGATAAACCAATGTTGTGCATAAAAAACAAGAGTGACTTGCATAATATCTATAAAGCTGACAACACACACACGTTTTTTTTACTGTTTTCTGACACAGTTGAAGCATAAGCAGCATTACACTAATAATATACCACAATATGCCTCACCAGACTGTGATGTAGCTCAACGTAAGACCTACCTTTTATTCTAATGATTGGGTGAACTTGTCTAATTTGTAGAAGAGTAAAACTGCCTGCCTGTATTTCTCTTCATTAAACATGACAAACGTCAGTAAACAGCTGGACAAGGCTTTGAAATCACATTTTCGAGTTTTTTGTTTGTTTATTTTTAGGAAACGTCGGACCAGTTCTAACGTAATGTTTTCAGTGGTGCTAATGTGGTTAATTTATCACCAAACAACGTTGGGGGGATTTGCACAAACAGTCATCACCTGTTTGTCTGGTGCTGCAGCCGTTTGGCGCTCAGCACTGCACGAGCGGTGGAGGAGGAGGGAGGAAGGGGCCTGGTCCTGAGGGTGCTAGAGGTCTACAAAGCTGCACACACTAAAGACACAAATTATTTAAAAAAACATATGTAATTGCAGGATTTCAAATTGAGGATTCAAATCAAATGTATATCTTAAAATGTTGCAGAACAATTTTAGCATGTAATTCCTCAGAAGTTGGCATCATAATACTATGACATCATGTGTCCAGCAGGTGGAGGTGTAGAGCTTTATTTTTATTCTAAATAAATGTGTAGACAAATGGGCATTAAGATACATGCTACTGTTCCTCAAGTCTGTTTATATGATCACTTCTAATTTCTCACGTGACTCTGATTCATTGATATAATTATCAAGATAAGACTTTGTTTTGATTACTCTACAGTTATTCACTTTTGCCATAACATGAAGGATGTACTTAAAGTTTCTGTGTGTATATATAATAAGTACTTTTATTATTTTCTTTTCTTTTCAGACATAAAATAATTAGGCAAAGTATTTCAATGAATCAGATCAGAGTTATTATACTACAGTCAAACATCTTTCTAAAGACGATGGAGAAGAGCAGCTGTAGTTTGTGGTGCTCCTGAACTTCACTGGATTACACTAACAGGTGTATATCTAATTTGTATTCATATTGGATGGAACACGTCAAACACATCAAACGTTACTGACGTGAACATTTAATTCAGGCGTACTTGAACCTCATATGTGTCTCTACATTAATAGTGATTAACCTCATAGTATTTTATGTATAATATAGTGATCAATGAGGCTACATACCGTAAGATAGGTGACATCATTAGTGATTAACGTCATAGTATTTAATATCTATGATACAGTGATCAATCAACCTTGCCCACTAATCAAAATGACTAACCGGCTTCTGATCTGCATCTGATATCTCATTCTTAGTTATTTTTGTCATGTGTTGATCCATTGTATTGCTTAAAAAGGCTACTGTTGAAGCACTTTATTGGTTGGCCTTTCTTGTTTGATGGAACGTGTGTGGGACTCTTTGAATAATGAAAAATATTTCTCCATAACTAATCTTGTGTCACTTTTTGCTCAAATTATTAAGTGCTCTTAAGAATAAATTCATTAAGAATATAGGTTAGGTTTCAGTTAACAATTAGTTGAATACCATTGTAATCAAAATGTCAATCAACATACCTTGGTCAAATCTCAAACACAGGTCTATTTAGGTGTATTAATTAGGCTTTATTGTGGCACATAGTGTGGTCACTGAGGCACAACAATAGTTTTCTGGTTGAATGTTCATCTCAAGTCTAGAAGGACATGAATCAGAAGACGTTCAGGTATTGCACATCTTTAGCATTCCTCCCAAAAATCCACTAGAATGCTGGAAATAACATCTACTTAAACCTACATGTCCTGGGAGGTGGACCTTCAGCTGTGTCTTTGCTTCTCAGAATGTAACGTTGTCCATCTCCAGTAGGCCGCCCCTATCGACGACTTTGGGCCCCACAAGCCACCAGATCGCAGTGCACAACAGGGGCACAACGGCAAAATAATTGATCAGAGTTTGAAGGACAAAGTGCGACGTATATATATGTTGTAGAACCACAGCTCATTATTCCTAAGGCTGGGCGTCTTTAATAAGTATAGCAATAAGGAAGTTGATTGTGATATAATGACTTTAAAAGCACCCAGAATATGTGTGCTAATGAACTCTTATTATACTCCTCTAACTCTATTATAGTTTGAAATAAATCAACATCCCACACACTGACCAAATCTTTGGGACGTATTTACGCAATCACTGCAAACCCCTGGAGGATTAAAGCATGGCACAAGTTGTGCTGACGAATGCTTTGTTTTTAGCTCAGAGAAGACACCTTGACAGATTAATACATTTTGATGGATTGATTAAGATTGTGTGATGGAAAAAGTGAAGCTGAGGAACAGATCTGATGCAATGAGAAGCCTGGAACGGGAAAAACACACCGTGTGTTGGCCAGGAACAATCGCCATGAAATAGAACCAGCGAGGCGCCACTGGAATACAACCTGCTTTACTGTGATACATAAAAAACACAGAAGATGTCAGAGGTGATACCACAACAGAGGCAGAAATCTGAGAGGTAGAACAAAGGAACAAAGACTCAACAGCAGAGCACAGGTGCAATAATCCAAAATAGGGGGGTTTCCTCTCCTTAAAATCAATTGTTTGTCAGTCAGGTAAATTCACTCTACACATCATACAGTTGTTTTTAACAGATTTTGTATCAAGTAGAAGGTTGTTTTCCGATGAGAATTGTTTCATCTTCTAGAGTCCAAAGTCATACAACAACAACATAAATCAAGTCAAGGTTCAACCATTTTATTTAGGTACACGTTTGCCTCAAAGCACTTTACAGATGGCAATTTCACAGCCTTATTAATAGACTCTATTTAGACAATCCCAAAGTCTCTTTTAATGCAGAACCCAGAGGGCGATCACGTTGTAGGCTATACAGTACGAAGATATTGGAACAAAAGGAAAGGTTGCCTCAGCAGACCACAGCAAGCTTAAAAGCAAGAGCTTTTTCGAAACATACAAATCGTGAAAACCTTTAACTTGGAACCAGACTGTCTTACCTAATAGACTGACATGCCACAGGCTACGACCTCCCCATCAGCAAAACCAGCAGACGAACACGGGTCGATGCGTAACACTAGAGACCGCCAGTGAGCCGTGTTACGCGCGAACGTGCACGGCGAGTCAATGTGCCTTATATCGTCTGTCCGGGCCCGTCGGCTGTAATGGCACGATGGCCATAATGACAGCAGACGGATCGCTTGTGACACTGTCGCTAAAGAGGAGCTTGATAGAATCTCGTGAGCTAACTGGAGATGAAGGCGCGGAGGCGAACTTTGCGCAGGTTGTGCGTAAAAAGGTATATTGGGGGAAGCACATGTGAATCGCTGAGATTTGTTTGAATCCAGCGTGTAAAAAAACCCGGCGATTGATGTTCAGGACAGATGGTGAAAAAATATGATATTCGTGCCATGTCTCCTCACAATTCCCCCCTATTTGTGCTACCGGTGCTCTTTTCCTCGAGGAAAGTCACCCAATACTCAAAAAGGGCTTCAAAAGCCGTGCATTTGGTTATTCATGATCTGAATAGAAAAACAAAGTATGCATATGAAAGTCCCCATTTATTGTTCATTTGTCACCATCAGCGGCTCGACGTTGTTTCATTTCGGAGCCAAAGTGTGCGCAAAATGTCTATTCTTAGACACTGATTGCACGCCTCAGCTGAGAAGACGACCTCCTCCCGACTTACTTCGCGTCACCCCTCCCGTCTGCCCACCGTCTCCTCCCTAGAACATTTGCTGTGGGCATTCCTGAGAGCGGCTCTGGGCTGAGAAAAGAGACAGACAGACGGAGAGAGAGAGAGAGAGAGAGAGAAATACACGCAGACCCCCCAACATCACCTAGACCACGTGCTCCATCCAGCACAACGAGGGGTGGAGGACGCACAAGTACAAGCGCGTCCATGCGTGCCGAGCTTAACAAGACAGTAAACGCGCATGCACACACACTGCGAATCCAACAATTGGAATAAGAGTTTATCTTGAGAACTCTTAAAAGAAGAACACAGCTTTGTTGCCAGCACGAAGACCGCCTATGTGAGTACGCGGCAAGAAGAGCCATGCATCTCAACAGGGAAGAAGATAACAACAAAGGTGAGCAAAAGATTTCCTCGGCCATCGGTGGATGGTTTTTTCATCCAGGCTCTCCCGTCTGGTTAGACGCTCTCGCTCTGGTTGCCAGATGCCCTTGAGTGTGTCATAAAGATGTCCACTAATGACGCTGGGGGTCATTCCAACAAGCCGATGGTCACTGCTGTCATGGTTCTCTTATGTCCCGTCTGCTTTTTTTTCTTTCTTTTTTTTTAACCAACACGCCTCGCTTGCCATGCGAGAAGGGGCTGTTGCATACACTCAAGGTGGCAATGCGTTCCCGGCCATTGGAGCACTTGTTGTGCCCGATCCGGTCGTTTTTCTGCACGAGGTGACCTGAGCGTAAAAATGCACAAGGTCATCCATTCCCGGTCGTATTGACGAGCGGTCCGCCGTGCGTCGCTTTAGCGTCGGACGTGCGTGTGTTTGCAGGCTGCCGCTGCCGCTGGGGTGTCCTCCGATGTGGCCGAAAGGGGGAGAATTAGGGAGCAGACGGTGCGTAATGACACGAGCCACCTCCGTCAGGGGTAGTAATGATGGAGTAAAATAGCTTCTGATGCCTCTGCCGGAGCCATGCCGAGTGCCCCCCCCCCCCCCCCGGCATCTCTGAAGTCGAGGTCACTGAGGGACACCTGATGCTGAAGGAGGTTTGCCTCTGAATGTCGGTCGACGTGACGCAACCTCTGTGTATGGTCCAAATAAGCACCCGTATAACTTGTCTTGTGTCCACCACACCCGAGTTAAGCATGATGTGTGCAGCATGGCCATTACCGGCACTGCCCAACCCGCAGACCTGTATTAGATTCAGTCATTTGTTGCATGTCATGTTTACACAACTCTGAAAATGTAAATCTAATGTAAAACAAGTGGCATATCAGAAGTGCAATTCTGGACAGAATCCAAGAGAATAGTAGGCAGACGCTTCCCCCGCTGCAAGTGTCCACTTTATAAACTCTACTTTCCTCACATTTGAGAAGCATGTCTATGATGATGTGATATTGCTGGCAAGGGAATACAGCATTTCGGCTTTGATGTGCAGCTCTCAGGCTTTACGGTCAGGTAATATCTTTGTTCTCTACCAGCTGCAAAGCGTGCTTTTCATCGAGGGGTTCCCCATGTAGCGAGTGTTGTTCTGCACACTGGCACTTTGCATTATCCCTTATCTAAAATGTCTCGTAGCCAGATCTGGTTTCACAGGGACAGAAGATGAGTCACCACCATGCAACTATAAGTGATTTTATGACGGCCCGATAAGTGTGTGTGTGTGTGTTTATTTATGTGGCAGACAGAGAGGCAGGTAGAGATGGAGGGAGTGTGAGCATCTGAAAGTGAGAGGTAAAGTGTGTGAGCAAAGTGTGCCGCTCAGAAAGCATTCATTGAATTGTGAAACTTAACAGACATACTGTAGGATTTTATATTTTCAAAATGCTGAGGTAAAGGTTGACGGTAAAATCAACTGAAGCAACTTTTGCTTCACAAAAGTGCTGCTTCTACCAATAATAATAACATAAAAGAGATTGATAGTGCATTATCAATAGAAATTTCAGTAGCCAAAAGTAGAAATTCAAGGCCACATCTTCTCAATGAGTTTATATATTCATCCCCAGCAGGTTCAAAAGTAGAGCAATTCATAGGGTATTATATAGTATGCCATTCAAATGCATAATATTTAAAAATATAAAATAAAAATATTTAAAAAGTGCTGATATTTGTAGCTTTTTTGATTTACAAATGCATTCTCTGGCAAAAGAGTCATTTCAATTTAGATACATTTATGTTATCAAGTAAATATTGGCCATCGGAACTGACATGATGGTGAAACAAAAGCAAACAGTAATAGTGAAAAGATCTGAGCCAAGAGGAGGCCAGCCTACTGTTTTATCCATCTTTAACCTGTTAAACTATAATATTATACCGTGTGTGACAAATTAAAGATAATTGATGATCTTTAATGTTGTTTTTTTACTAATGATTTTTTTTAAATGACAGAAAGCCGTCAACTGAAACAGAGCTTTAGGCTTTAAGATTGCCTACTGTATCAAAATGAATCAGATAAATAGTTCAGATTCATAAAGTCTACATTATTTGCATGTAGAATGTGCAAGTTTAGTAAGACACCACCACCGATTTTGTGAGTTTGATTTGTGATGTATGACCACAAACGGAAGACACCATTCAAACTTAGATTCCTGTAAATAAGTTTTCTTTAGCCGGATAAGTGTTCTTGTATACGTTTAAGTTGGTGAGTTCAATGGTGACTCTTTCGGCACCTGTTGGCCAATACAATACATCAACAGTTTCTAGCACGTGGTAAAGGGACAACGAAGAGCAAGGAGGCACAGCTTACACTTTTGCTTTTCTCAATTCTATTAATTCGGGAGCAGGACATATATTTTTCATTTAGTGTCTGCACACTGCACTGTGTGGAACTCCATGGGGTATTGTTTCTGTCAAATGAAAGCAGGGATTGTAGTTCCTCTTAAAAGTGAGTATCAATGACTGAATCAATGCCACTGAGAGAGAAAACACAGAACTATACAATTATATTGTCCAAAAAAGTCTTTAATATGGATCGGAGGTGCCGGCTGTATGAAAGAGGACGGAAAACCTTTCTAGCCCCCTGGGAAGCAGTTTTTCTGTTTGCGGAACTTTGATATGAATTCTCGCCTTTATGTCAGCGGGGTGTCATACGCGAGCCAGTCAAATTAATAACCCTAAAAAGGAGCTACATCTAAAGGTTGGCATCTTTTCACGGTGGAATTATTCATTCTAATGGTATGGGTTTATTTTTGTGTTGACGTCGGCGATTGGGTTTGACCTTTGATGACACTGATGCTGTCATCTGTCTGCATTGCAGAGCATGAGCAGGCAGCCTGATCTCCAAAACCTGTTCGTAAAAATGTATACGAAAATCTTGAACATACAAATTTCGTAGTGATACATACGAAATAAATACGGACTGGCAACTGATGACGTCACCCTATTCAAAGTGAATGGGGACCTGCACCCCGTAAACACACTTTGCGAAGTCTAACGATGTAAAATAAACGTGTTATGATTGCATTTTTAACGAGAAATCAATGTTAACTTGTAAGAATAGAATACTAACCCTGACCCCCTCAAAAAATCCCAACATGGCGGAGAGACGTTCACTCAAGAATCCAACATGGTCCGCCATGTTGTTCACTCAAGGGGCGTGGTTAACTCCCCCTCGTATTGTTACGAATTTGTATGTTCAAGATTTTCGTATACATTTTTACGAACAGGTTTTGGAGATCACGTTGGAGCAGGGGTGTGTTTGGTGGAGTTGTAGTATTGAGCGGTTGGTCTCTCGAGGTCCTCCTGCAGTGTTGCTATAATCTCTCCAGAGCAGCCCGGGTGTAAATGTCAGACGTCAGGTAGGCCTCAATGCAATGTGCAACAGAGAATCATTATTAAACCGGCAGGAGAACAGTCAGAGGTAAGTGCTTAATATTAGTAACATTCAAGTTGAGAGAGAAATGTTTAATTATGTAATAGTTCAAAACTAATGGACTGGAATCTTATTAGTGGTTTGAGTCAAGCTGCGAGAAGGAAGAGAGAGACACATTATAAATCTGAAACAACGGTATTTATATCTCCTGTTTAACTCTGAGCCACAATGTTGGGAAGTAAGCCACTCAGATTTACAGACTGATGCGACGGGACACTGAGGCCAGAAAGGGAAGTACAATACAAAGAATACAACAGATGATCACAAAATGAATCGGTTGGAGGGGGACGGGGGGGTTGACACAATGTCGGGTTTTTGTGTGGTAAAAAAGCTGAAAGAGTCTTCAGTTCCAATAAACTGTCAAAACCATTTCCCCCAAAAAAACGTTCTTTCTGTGATGGAGGCGTCACCTTGAAAAGCGTAAGCAGATTTTTCCATTTTCCCCCTTTATTTTAAATAAAATCCCTAGAAAGTGTGTTGACAGGGGATTTTTCTTTTATTGTCGCTATGGAACGTTTGCCATAAAAGATAATTTAACTACATCGGAGGAATCCTGACTTTGTTTACCTCCATCACTTCACCTTCTCAATTCAATTTGCTTGGGTGATCTACAAGTTGTTCTCCAGGAGCCTCTAACATCACTGTTGTGGTTCGGTTAATCCTCCTGTTTTTGCACGGTTGAACTTATTAGTTGATATGGTGTACATTTATGTATCGTGTGATGTGTAGTCTTACATACATAACTGTGTTTCACCCTGTCTGGGTTTTATTTTGCACCTCGCAATTTTTGACTATAAAGAAACCAGCAAGGAAAACAGACGGCCACAGATGGCTGAGAAGAGATTTGGGAATCTGGATTCATCGAGAAAGTAGCCTTCCACTGTAAAAGCAGTGTGGGTTGAAAAAGTTACTGGCAGATATACGGGGCTGGTGGAGAAAGACAGAAATAGACCATTGGAGACCGAGGCAGAGAGAGAGAGGCAGTCTAGATCTTGAGAGAATATCTGTTTTGCCTTCACGCCATTAGAGAGTACTTTTGAAGAGGAAGCAAAAGAGAAAAAGAGACGTACACTAGTTCTTTAAATCAGTGAGCCTATTGAAGCAACACTGGTCTTCAGACTACACAGAGACAGCAAAGATGAGAAAGACACAGACAGAAGATAGCTAGATCCTTTTTTATTATAGCAATTCATGTCTTTTTTTATGAGACAAAGTTTCTCTCAAGCTCTTCTATTCGCTGAAATGCCGACATCTGTCACAGTTAATTTAAGTATCATGGAAATAGAGTCTGTTTGCCGAAATATAATCAGTCTAATGTCTCAGAAAGACATTTAAAGTAAGTCAGAAGAACGCCTCTGAATAATTAAGATACATTAAAGATTTACCTGAGCCTGGCTGGTGATTGAACCGTGCTTTACATAAGGCTCATAATAGGAGGTTTATCTACATGTCGGAGGGGCGAACGAGAAGATAACAGGTTGAGGATGCGGGTCCGGGGGAGAGAGTCAGCCAGGAGACTGGATTCTGGAGA